GACACTCGTTTGCCCTGGGATGCAGGTTGCAGAAGCGTTGCTGGAAATTGCACTTCCCAGGTTTTCTGGGGATGCCATCCCAAAAACAGATGCAGGAATGGTTTTGGCAATTGCTGATAGGTAATTTGAACACAAACACAAAGTATTGTTGCTGGATTGGCCCATGTATTATTGTTTGCTGATAGGTAATTTGAACACAAACACAAAATTCTTCTATGAGATGGACACACAATTCTCCCATATAACTAAACTGCAAATACTTCTGATATGATCATATAAACCAACACTTGTGCTTGTTTCTTAAACCTTAGATTGGATAGCCTCGTTGGTCTATTTGCTGCTGGTTGTCAGCCAAGTTCAACAAATGACCCATTTGGCCTTAGAAGAATATCTTATGGCTTAGTAAGTTTGTAGATATCCTGATCTAAAAAAGTAGCTATGATTTGTCTATGAGCTTATGGATGCCGACAAATACTTGTATGCCACAGGTCCAGATTTTGGTCGAGAAGGATAAAAATATCAACTTCAAACATACTCTAGAACTTGCAGCCTGTGTACAGCCGGTGAAGGTTGAGGCAAACACTTTAGAAGATGTGAGAATCAAGTCCTCCAGAGCCACTAAGCGGCATCATCTCATCTCAAATCAACAGTTTTCCCATTTACGCTGGTGTAGTCCATCATCTCAAATTGGTAGTGATATATTTTATTTTTCTTTTGTTTCTAGGTGTATCAATTTGTTACGCGAAGACTGGAACAGCTTCTGGTTTGGCAACTTTCGTGATGCTTATCTTTTTTATTTCTGTTTCTAGTAGACAGTTTCTTTTAACTAAAGCAGCTTAGTGTCCGGTTCTTGACACATTTTCTATACTTTCTACAGATTGATAACGGAGTAAGCCCTGAAGTAGTTAGGTCTGTCCTAGCAGAGCGTGGAAACGACCCTTGTCTGGCAGCACGTACTGCATACAAGGTAAGTGACTGGTGATCTGGTCCAATAGCCACTAGGTGTGGGATTAGGTAATAGTTCAGAAGCCTGTGGGCATCATTTTCCTACAAGCCAGGTTGTATGGCGATTGGATTAGGCCGACATAGAAGGCTTTTTCTCAATTTTAATTGGATAAGTCCATCTGCTATCTAGTATATTAGAGAGTGGACCACCAGTCTGGGCTGCCTTGGACATTGGTAAGGAAGGTGGTACTTTCTCGTTTGTTGTCAGTTGAAATTGGGGATTGGGTTATGGCCTAAATTCAAAGGGTTGTTCCTATGCTAGCATAATGGCTTTCCAAGGGTAGCTTTACCGGTTCCGTATAGCAATTGGTTCCTCTCAATATGCCAGTGGCTCGCGAAACCTGAAACTTCATTATCTTCTGGTTTGGACATGTTGCCCAGTCCTTAGCTCATTAGAAGCTAACATCACTGGTGCCCTGCAGATGGAAAAGCTAACCAAAGGTGAGATCTTTCCGAAGATAGTGGAAGCATATTCACGTCCCACACGCATTGTCCGTGGGAAAGATGTTGATGTTGGAGTTGAGGTACTTGCGGTTTGTGTCTGATCAAATAGCAAAAGAACATCTGTCAAACTTGCAGAGCTTCTAAAATTGAATGTTGCAATCAGGTGGATGAGGGTGCATTTGAGACTTCCCAAGAGAGAAAGTTGTGGAGCACATACGTCTCTATCAAAGATCAAATCCACACTGGTAACTCCACTTTCTTCTCTATTGGATTCTCTCACTCGCTTCCAAATTTCTTCAACTCGCATCCAAATTTCAGGCATAGAAATTGAGGAGTTCACTGAGATATCCACGCAGTTGCTGGAGCCGCTCGAGGATTTCTTCAACAATGTGTTTGTGATGGTGGTAAGTTGAAACTTTGTTCACAGTGTGCTCGGGGATTTCAAGAGCCTTATCGTTTGAATTTAACGGTTTGCAGGAGGAAGAAAGAGTGAGGAAGAACAGACTCGCTCTGCTCAATAACATTGCCAATCTTCCCACAGGAATCACTGACCTCTCGTTTTTGCCCGGATTTTGAGATTTTACTTCTCTTTTTGATGTTAAAAAACAAATCATTTATTCTTATCTAAAAGGAAAGACAGTTTTGATAGAGTTTTTTCTTTTGACTTAACACATTTACAAAAAGTTGTTCAAAAACTTTGAATTCTTTTTATATCTGTAGTGTTTAAAGAAGCATCTAAAGAAGAAACTGAAGACACGTTATATAAACGTTTCAAACTTTCTGTAATGTATTGGATAAAATCGGTTTACATGTCTAGATATTTGATTAACACGAAATTTAGAAGTTATACATATCTAGATAGAAAACCCTTAAAGGCAGCAATGAAAAGCCATAAAGTTGGAGAGAGTAGTGCCAAGGAAACGCAAAGAGCTTAATTATAGACACATTGGAGGATCTTCATACGAACCAAAGAACAAGTCAGAAAGAAGAAACACTTTTTAAGGCTCTGAAGACACTTTTTCTAGATAATGGTATGATTTAAGACACGGCGGAAGAGAGGGAGACGGACTGACCAGAACGCTTGGCTGGTCAATCAAGATGAGCAGCAGCCATTCTTTTGGGCAACAGGCTGTCCTCTGATTTGCACTGTCGGCGGTCTTGCATTGTTCCCAGCTGGTTGGCTTGCCATTCTGCATCCAAAACCACAGATCAATTTCTTTCATTATATCACAAACAATTTCTTATGAGCAAAAATGACGCACAATGTATATTACCTTTCTTTGATGGCTGCCGACATGGCCATGAAAGCCTGTTCCACGTTGGTGGCATCTTTTGCACTGGTCTCCATGAAAGGAATTCCAATTTCATCGGCAAAAGCCTAGGGATGCGTCAAAGTCATCAGGAAAGCAATTATAGTCTTTCAATATGATTGCTACAAAACTTGAAAAAAGAGTTGGTAGGGAAAGAATGGGTTGAAGTGCATATACCTTGGCCGTTTCAAACGACACGGCTCGATTTTGAGCAAGATCAGACTTGTTTCCAACCAAGAGTTTGTTCACACTGTCACTCGCATAACGGTCAATTTCACTCAACCATTGCTTCACGTTATTAAAGCTTTCTTGATCTGTGACGTCGTAGACAATCTACCAGGTTGAGGGCACCAAAGACTAAGTGAATTTGGTACAAGTGCCAAGCCAACGTAAGAAACCGAGAGAGCCTAAGTAACTTACAATGATTCCATGTGCCCCACGGTAGTAGCTGCTAGTAATTGTCCTGAACCGCTCTTGACCAGCAGTGTCCCACTGAAAGATAACGAAGAGTGAAGAGTTATATGGTCACCACTGAGAGTAGTAAATGAGAAGCAAGCAACTTTAGGGCGGTAGAGAAGAGTACCAGTGGCTTAGAAAACCTAACTAACTGTTGCTATTATATGAATGATACAAAGACGGTGAGACGTGAGGAAATAAGGGAATCATATTAACTTAAACTAGTCTTAGTAATATTGTTTACCATAACACAGACTATAGAAAGAGGAAGATAGATAGAGATACATACAATTTGGAGCTTAATTGACTTGCCATCTTGCTCAACAGTCCGAATTTTCTGAAGAAGAAAAAGGAGCTCAGAACAAAGCCATAGCATCATCAGTCAGGGCAAAAAAAAAACTTACAAAATCGACTCCAATAGTGCTTATGTAACTCTCTGCATAGGAATCATCCTGCACACAAAGGAGTGGCCAATCAGATAGCAGACACCAGAGGAGCAAATGCAACAAATCATGGAACCTTGATCAGTTACGGTTCGAATAAAGAATTAAAACTTACGGAAAATCTCAAAAGAAGACAAGACTTGCCGACGCCGGAATCCCCGATAAGCAGGAGCTTGAAAAGATAGTCGCTGCACAATAGAAAATAGAATAACGATCTGAAGCACACAAGGGGATAAATGATCTCATAGAAAGATCTCAAAGCAGAATCTATAACACAGAAAGGAACTTACTACTCGGGATTCATGGTCGGAGAAGAAAAAAAGGACGACGGCGATACAAAGCGTAGCGTAGCGTAGATCTCTCTGTTGCGTTCGTTGGGGAACTACAAAGTAAAGAGGACAGAGAGACGAGATTCATCATCTAATATTGGGCCTTAAAACGTAAGCCCAGATTGAACAATAGTGAGTGGAGGCCCAATAATAGCAGAATCGGATCGGCCGAGAATATTCCATTCTCATGTTACTTTAGGGTTGCAGCAGATTGGTGCAAGTATAAATACGGCTTTGCCTCCTACGACCGACCAAGAAGCAGCGAAAAATAAAATGGAGCAAACTTTTATCATGATCAAGCCCGACGGTGTACAGAGAGGACTCGTACGTTTCCCTTCCTTCCCTCTTTCTCTTTGATTTTGTTTTCCAGTTCCTCGGAGATTCCATTGTTGTTTGGTTTGGTGGTGTTTCAGATCGGTGAAATCATCTCCAGGTTTGAGAAGAAGGGTTTCACTTTGAAGGGTAATGATTCCGATGCCCTTTTGTGTTTAATTTACTATGTGGTAGGTAGATTAGATGAGATCATTCATTAACTGAGCTGAGAGTGCCTGTACATGACAGGCCTGAAGCTGATCACTGTTGAGCGCTCTTTCGCTGAGAAGCACTACCAGGACCTCTCTGCCAAGTCCTTCTTCAGTGGTCTCGTTGACTACATCGTCTCCGGTCCTGTTGTTGCAATGGTCTGGGAGGGGAAGAACGTTGTTTTGACAGGAAGGAAGATCATTGGAGCCACAAACCCAGCAGCCTCCGAGCCTGGAACCATCCGTGGGGACTTTGCAATTGACATTGGCAGGAACGTGATCCATGGGAGCGACTCTGTGGACAGTGCCAACAAGGAGATTGCTTTGTGGTTCCCAGATGGACCTGTCAACTGGCAGAGCAGCCTTACCCCTTGGATTTACGAGTAGTAGTCTTGTTGATCCTCCTCTCTCTTTCTTGTGTTTTGCTTATTCTCTTTCAAACTTGTTCGCTTTTAATCTGTTTGATTTGATCTATATCTATATTTTCCAAGTTGAACTCAAATCGTTCTTTCCAAAAGTCACAAACAAAAAAAATTCCTTATTTTCTAAGCGAACGAGTGAATCTGCAAGTGAGACCACTAAACTAAGGATTTAGGAGGAGGTTAAAAGAAGGTAAGTCTTGGAGTCGGGTAACTTCTTCCTCCATAAGCTCTCTCTCCAGTTGATGCCTTGTCGATTGCATCACCATCTGCCAAGCACACATTCTTACTCAGTCAGTCATGGAGTCTATGACCTGCACTTTCTCAAAGTGATGTGGGAGTAGGTAGCCTACGTTAAAATCCATGTAGGAAGCCCGCATTGTGAGCCATTGATGATCCATTAGCTTGAACGCAATGCAATATAGAATGTCAAATGCTTCCTCGTTTTCTGCAACAAGAAACCATCCAGAGTCAATATGGGGTTACCCTCCTTGCTTAACACTGATCTCTACCTACTGACCTGCTAGTAGTTTCAGGAATGCTTCCCCGACCATCCTCCGTGGTTTAACTGTAAAAAAATGGAGGACAACAGTTACTCAGCCAATACAACAAGTAGTTGAGCTTCTGTAACTAGAAGAAAGAAGACCTTGTTCAAGGTCGAGCATCTGAATGAGCATGAAGCTAATATTTACACCAGCAACCGCAAATGGGTATTCCCACACCGATCTATCACCTACTTGCTTTCTCAGAAGTTGTTGAAATGATTTCTGCATTTGCAAAGGAGCCTCAACACCCAGCTTATAAATCTATCTATCCTACAATGAATTGAAAACAACCTACTTGGAAATTCCTTGCAAAGTACAGCAAATTCTCCAAGGATATGAAGCCCCCTCCCCTGCACGTGTATGAAAACCGCATCAGGCATCAAGAAGCAAAGAGAGCAAGAGGGAGGGGATTCACCTAAAATCCGTCGAGGGATCCTTTCCCTGCCAACCCATTTCCTTCCACTGCTCGGATATCATACCATCGAGTTGTTCCTCCGGGAAGGCTAACTTCCACAGATTCCCCAATGCTTCCTACAAGTAGACTTGTGTGAAATCACTTGACTTGGTGATCCCACCACCAACTAAGAAAGTTACCTGGTGCTGAGGAATAGAGCCATCATAGGGAACATATACACGACTCTGGAGCCTCTGCAAGCAGCCCTCCTAAGAAAAGCCACAAATCAGTCTGGATGTGAAAGCATCATAGTAGAAGCAATGTGAAAGCAGAGAATGGTGGTACCTGAGCAGGGGTGAGATCAAAGGAATGACGAGAATGGTGCTCCCTTTTCTGTGCACAAACACAAGCGAGTCCCCGCCCTAACCACGCACCTGACCCTGCCACAACCTCAACATGTAACAAGACAAAAAAAAAAGCACCTACATAAAGCTATAGGGTGGGTGGTTGACCTGAGGATGAATGGCAGGTGCCTCCCCTGTCCAGACTGTGAGATATCCGCCTGACAGCGACAAAGGAGCGTAGATCCTCCATTATTCTTCCCGAGTCATAAAGCTTAGTTTGCCATCAGAGTTAAGGGGGATGCAGTTTGAATGGTCCTCCTAGCTAGTGGAAGAGGGATTTTGAGGTCTAACTGTACTCTCGTCAATCCTTTATATATACACGCACCCAATTCCCACTCAATCCAAATATATTATATATCTGAATATCCAGCTAACTTATACATTGGTCTATATATACTTCAATACTTTAGAGAGAGCATATTCATTGTTCTTGAAAAATCAAGTGAATGGTTAGACTAGGTTGGTTCATAAAAAGTAAAAAGATAAGTCCACATGGGATGTTGAGACAAAGTGAAGGTAGAAGCATCATACATCCCCACTTTCACCCAATTCCAACAGAAATGGACCACACAAGCTGATCCCATATGCCTCGATTATTAGCTTTCTTGCTTCCTTTTGGCGCCTTCTTCCTCACCAATCATTCAACCACCACTTCCACCCCCTATTTCTTCTTTTCGGCCTCCACTCTTTAAGCTCCCCACCATGCATAATTCTTGTATCGTCCACATGACGAAAATATTACACCTGACTACTCCTGTGTTAGGTTATTGTTGACTCTTTTTTTCCAGCTTCTTCGCTCTTCTTTACCAGCTTTGGGTTGTAGGTACGTAACCAATCAAACAAAACTTTGAACCAAATTCGTTCATAAATTTTAAAAAGAGATGATGAAGCTCTTTTTAAATTATACAATTTTCTCAGTTCTAAAAACTCACAGCATAAAATAAGGATCTGATATAACACACCCTAGACCATTACCGATTAAAAGGTTCGGCCAGTATGTATTTAAAATAGTTCCAGCTAGCAAACCACATGGCACGAGCTGAAACATTATCTTATAAGTTTTCCCAATTCCGATTCATACCATTTGAAAATGACAGCACCTGCCTTCAATACCATCTCTAAGATTCGATGCAAAAACAGCATACTAATGCAACTCAGGGTTTTCAAATTAACAAGACAAGAAACTAGAATGACTCAACAATAAGCCAGAGACATAAAAACAACCAAATTTCAGCCACAAAGTCCTCAGGTTCCAGACAAACCCATCTCTTCTTCAACACTGATTTCATCTCTAAATAGGCTTGATCTTGAAGTGCAGCGAGATGAGGGAAAAAACAAGACATTTCAAGTCCTGCAACCATGAATGTTTCAAAGGGAATATGTCAAGAGCAATATATAATTACACTACCAAAAATGAAATAAACTAGATAGATATTATCAGTCAGCTGATAGGGAACAGCATCCAGAATATGCATAACCAGGTAACCGTTCAGTGTTACCAGCCACACCCCATGTGCTTAAGTTGTAAATATAAAACCTTCCAGTTTAGAGATTATGGGAACTCTGTGGAAAACGAGAGCTTAAGTTATCCTATAGATTTATAGAAAAAGAGAGGTGACCTGAACAAGATAGTAGAAGAGGCGAAGTCCATCAGGATCATTACTGCTATTGACATCAACAAGAGATCCAATCTTAGATGTAGTGAAGCAGATGTGCTCATTTCCCATCACAATCTCAAGCTCTTGCGTTCCAACGCGGTCAGGTTCCGGCCAATTGTTATCATCTTCTTTCATTATCTACGCAGGCAAAGGTTCACATAAAGTCCCAGACATGTAATATCATCACCATGGAAAGTAACAGAAACATGTCCATTATTAACAAAGCCCAAAGAGGAGCAAAAGAAAAGGGTTCTAAATCTACACAACTAGTAAGATCACAGATCTCTCTCTGTTCTTAGTTTCAAACATCTTTCCTCTTCTCCAATCAAACCTCGATGTGCCTTAAAAAAACCCTAAAAAAAAGAAGATCTAAAATCAAAGCAAAAGAACCCTAATTGAGTTTGGACCTAGCCTGTTATTAGTTGTTGAACATTACGAGGGCAGTGAAAAAGAATCAAACATGGAAGAGAAGACAGACCTCGCTGTCGGAGACGATGCGCTTGCATTCCTTGAGAACGGCGGGGGTGAGAAAGACCTCCTTCCGGATCATAGTATCGTTCTTGTAGTTAGAGTTATTGGCGTAACGGAGCTTACCGTCGGGTCGAAACTCGAACTCAAGGAACTCGTGTCCGAATTTCCCTTTGTGACCGACATAGTACCTCAGGTAGAAGTCGTTCTCTTCTTCCGCGGCCATCATGTCTTCTCGAGATTTCTTTCCCCTTCCTTTGCCCTTTTATTATAAACTTCCGATCCAATTTAATGGGCTTCGCAAATATGCTATTATCGATAGATAGATCTGTTAGTTAAGGCCCATTTTATTTTTTATTTCCCCATCGAACACTCTTCCTGAGTCGGCTGCCTGATTTCGATCGATTCCACAGACGATTCGAAAATGGCCAAGTTTCTTCAATCCTATGGTAATTGTAACCGTACAAGCTCCTCTCATGATCTCTTCCCTTTTGTGATCTTCTTTTTTCCGCAGGATATGATTTGATTCTGGGATCTATAGCTGCAATTTATGTGGTCATGGCACCATATACTAAGGTCGAAGAGAGCTTCAACGTACAGGTAGGTTGCTATTTGCTACTAAGTCTCTCTTCTCTTCTTTTCAATTCGAATGTTTTTACTGAGTGAGTGATTCTCTCGTCTCGTCTGAATTTGCATGTGACCAGTCAATGCACGACATTCTTTACCATCGCCATCATTTGGACTCTGTGAGTTGAGTCACCTCTTTCTCACTTTCTGAAGCTCCATTTCCAATTTCTAGACTCATGTCAATATTTCCCGACCTCTATCAGTATGATCATTTGGAGTTCCCCGGTGTTGTCCCTCGAACTTTTATTGGTAAGGGCTGTTCAATCGCTCATCATTAGTGTGGATGATGTAGTCATTCTTTATGAGAAAATAAAAAGAATTCAACTCTGATTTGTTCTTGCAGGAGCCTTCATTGTCTCTATTTTCGCATCACCAATTGTATCAATTTTCACCTGGCTTGGCTTCTCCAAGATTTATAGTCTCGTTGCAGGTTTCTCTTCTCTTTCCCTTATGGAATCGCTAACCCCCGCAATTCTAAACACGGACAAAACCATCTCACCTCGTAGTTTGTTTCTTCATTAACTTACAGCTCGTTTGGTGTTGGGCTGCATCATATTATCCACACTAAGATTTTTCCGGATTCAGGTATGACGTTTATTTGCTACTAAGTTTCTCTAGTGCTTGTTTCCATGACACACGCCTCTATCTCATTCTTTGTCCCTTCCCATGTCATTGCAAATCTCACTTGCATCTTGATGGCTGTTTTTCTCTTATACACTGAGTGGAATATATCACTTTGACAGATAAGAAACAAGTTTGGGCATCAAGTGGAATCTTTCTTTGTACTTCTCACCAGTCTTCAGTTTCATTTGCTTTTCTACTGCACTCGTCCTCTACCTAATATTCTAGCTTTGGGATTAGGTGATTACTTCTATTCATCTGACTCTACAAGTTATGGTTTCAGATGTCCTGCAATCTTGCCCATTGCCTATTTAGCATAGGTGCCGCCTTTGCTGCTAATGTTGTGAAATCTGGATTGTGCAGTTAATCTGGCATATGGTAATTGGTTAAAGGGAAACTTTTATTCAGCTTTGAGCTTCCTGGTATGTAGGGTTTTCGTGGTAACATATTTTCCCCCTTAGAATATCAGTCATGGTATCCAGAACTATGGATTTGCTGACATGTCCTTTATCTGATAATCAGATTTTTGCCACTGTAATCTTCAGATGTGACACAATGTTACTGCTTGGGCCTATTGGTCTCGAATTTTTATTGGTGAGCTAGTGATGGATATTTTGGGTTCTGAAATTATGTATATGTGTAACTAGTCATGTACTTTGTTGTTTCCATCTGATGCTGGTGCTTTACGTTTATCAATGACAGACCAAATCGATCTCCTTCTGGAAAGCACTTAAGTATTGTGTTGGAACTGCTGTGTTGGCTGTAGGTTGGTTAAAATTCCTCTGCGTTCTGCTATCTATTTGATTTTTTCCCTTCACACTAGTTCCCGAGTCAGGCTTTTGGTGGTCATGGAATGTTCCTTAGCACAGGTCTTACCATTTTTGTTGACTCTATCATGTGGAAGAAGTTTGTGTGGCCAGAATTTGAAGTTTTCTGGTTTAACTCCATTCTGAACCGGAGTTCTGACTGGGGCGTATCCTTTGAAATCTGTTTCCTCAGTTTATTTATTTTCATATGATAGATTACCTTTTAGCATTTGTTCCACTGCCTGATTAGAGGATTGCCTTCTTTATAGTGATAACCATTTAAATTCCGTACATTAGTGTGATTGCCAATGCAAAGTTTATTTTGCTAATATTGTGGCTCTTGCATTTGTATCAAATTCTATGTTGTTCCTTGAAAATTCGTTGCTAAACTAGACACATTCCATACATTGGTATTTCACCTCGGCACTCCCACGGTCTTTGCTTGTAGCTTATCCTCTTTCACTGGTAAATACAGAGACATCTCCCATATAGTCTTATTCCTTTCTAGTTAGAATCTTTGATGGTATATCTTTTATGTTTCTCATTTCTTTTGCCTTTCGGATTATGCAGGTTGGTACCTTACTTGACAGGAGGGTTCCATTCCTTATTCTTCCAGTTTTGTTCTTCGTTATACTCTACTCTAAGCTTCCACACAAGGTATTCAGACGTTTAATTCATCTCAGATGCCGTCAAAGTTTTGTAACCATTTTCTGACATACGACTACCTATCTTTCTTGATATATGCAGGAACTGCGCTTTATTATTAGTTCAGTGCCAATGTTCAACTTATCTGCAGCAGTTGCTGCTAGCAGAATGTATGAGCTTTATCAGATGTTTGCTAGCTAAGCTTTCAAACATAGCTAGAACGTTCTTCTATTTGAGCTCTTTGGATACACTTCTTTTCTGAATACCATTTTAACTTCCTGCCAACGAGCTTGTAATACAATCTGTTTTTCTTGTACAGCTACAATAACAGGAAGAAATCTATTTGGAAACTGGTGAACATGGTTATGCTAGCATTATTTGCAATCAGGTAGAAATAGTAGGCAATCTGTGCTCTGTAAAAGAAGGAAAGGCATTTCTTAACCTGATTCTACAGTGCAGGGTGCACGGTCGTAACATTCATGGCATCTTACTACAATTATCCTAGTGGCTATGCGCTGAAGCGCTTGCATCAGATAAGTGAGCAACTTATTCTTTTCAGGGTTTCTTCTTATTGCAACAGAGTTGACTTGGATACAAACAAGAAAATACGTACTGTGTTTATCTCACATGCTATCTAATACGTAATCATCTTTGTTTTGTGGTGTGTATCCTTACCCCTGGTGGATTTTGCTTACAGTATGATTAGATTGACCTGTTGCCTTGCGTGTTTCTCAGGCCATCCTGCAAATGCGGCAGGAGAAGAGTGGGTTCACATAGACACTTTCAGTGCTATGAATGGAATATCTCGCTTTTGTGAAGATGATTTCCCGTGGAGGTGAGATTGATTCTTCTTTATATGTACTTAAGCCGTCCTACCTAGTTTTATGGTTGGTAAAAGTAATGGAAACATCGAGGTACATGGAAAAAACTTGGCAGTTGGAAGTATCCATCTGTGGGAGATAGAGACATTTGTTTGTTTTTCATGTTAATTTTCGAGGAGATGTTTAGAAGGAGATAAACTTTCTTGTGCCATGCAGATACTCAAAAGAAGAAGAGATAGTAGTGGAGGAGTTGCGAAACAGAAATTTCACGTACCTTGTGAAGTGAGTATTTGATGATATAGTAGAGAAAGCAATTGTTAGTGAAATAAGATAACGTTGGTGGTGAACATGTAAGTAATACTGTGGTGTTGCTTTGAGCAGCGAGCATCCCTCAGTGGGTGGATACAAGTGCTTGTTTTGTGAAGAAGGCTTCGACAGACTCAAACTGCAGCGAGGTTTCCCTCCCATCGTTCTGGTAAAGTTTGTTGGCTTGGGTAATATTTCATGAAAATAGGATGACGGAATGTAATGTTGAGTTGAATTTGCAGGTTAAAAAAGGGAAAGTATACGTGCACCGGGATATGAAGAAGGAAGATCCTTTGCATGAGAAATGGCCTGGATGTTAGGTACCCAACAAATAATAGAGAGATTGTTTTGGACATGATGTAACCAACCAACGAGATGCACTAAAAGATATTATCAGCTGGTGGTACTTGTATCGTGTTGTATTGAGACCCTCTGATTCTTCCAGTAGCATCCGCCTTTTGGTTCGTTCTCTTTTGGGCCTTCAGTTTAATTGATGGCCCTTTAATTTTTACCATTTTACCCTTCTTTCTTGTCTCCCTCTTCGTTTAGGGAACCAAAGTGAGTCGACTTATCCTCAGATTGTTGAAACTAACCTAATAAGTAGAACGAGAGATGCTGCTTCAGGCAGTGCAGAATCGGAATGTCCCACTGGCTTCCTCCGCCTCCTACTCACGCCTCCCTCGCTGCATATCTCCAGTCGTATCCGTAGTATCTCTATCGAAGAAGACGGCAATCGTGTGCTCCATCTCACAGGTCTATGGCTACGGGACTGTGGACTACGAGAGAAGGCCGATTATCCAGTGGAATGCCATCTACAGGAAGATTTCTCTCATGGAGAAGCCTGAGCTCGGCGCTGCATCCGTCTTGAATCAGTGGGAGAAAGGCGGCCGTAAGCTTACCAAGTGGGAGCTCTGCCGGGTCGTCAAGGAGCTTCGCAAGTATAAGCGTGCCAACCAAGCTCTTGAGG